GCAGAAAGTTTTTGCCTTGAATGAACATTGCAGTTGAGACAGTTTGCATCAGGCCTGCCCAAGCTTTGTCAGTAAGATCGAATCCACTTCCAAATAACTATGTAGTTTTCTAAGCAAAAGTAAATGCTCTGGGTGCCAATATTTGCTTTTTTTCCTTTCTTTTCTAACAGCTTTATGATAAGTAAATTGCTTTTTTAAAGAAAGGAAAGCACAAAAATCCACAGAGATTATCCCTCCAGTTTGGACTGCTTTCCTCATCCTCCCTAGGCGAGGAAAGAGGCCAGGTTCCTCTTACTAACTGAGCACTCACAAGAGGGTAGCTCTGGAACAGCCTGGCACTAGAAGGTAGTGCCTTGCTGTCAGCAGATGGTGCCCTCTCCGGGAATAAGAAACAGGAAATACTTTCCAGAGAGCGTTTGGCATACTGGCAGCCTTGTCTGGAATCACTTAAGATGAGGACAAGGTCCTTGGTTGGTGTCTTCTTGCAATGTCAACTTTAGCCCATTGGAAACATCCCAGCTCGTATTCAGAAATGGTTCTACCCCAGAAAACTGTTATGATATCACTGTTGGCTTGCATCTACAAATTACTGTACAACTTAAACGTCAGTATTCGAAAACTTGAAGTGCACAGGGTTTGTTCAGACAGAAGTACAAATGAAATTTAGTTTGGGCTCCTGGCAAGACTTGCTTTCACATTTATCACACTGACATTCAAACCAAAGAAGTAAAAATACAGCTAAAATATCAGGTGCCATTAAACGCCTGGAGAAACCATGGCAGGAGTGTTGCTTTTCTTTCCCTCCTATAATCAAATTTATCTACACTTTAGAACAAACATCTGCGTGAAGTATTTAGTGGTTCTTTCTTTTTTCCTTGGATCGAGTTTTGCATCTTAAACCAATAGCTTAGCCAGATTGGACAGGGTGTTTGTGGCTCTGTGGAAACCCTTAATACTCAGAGTATCTGGAATGTCCACATGTACACTTCAAAGCCTTGGTAGGTGCCCCAGGTGTGTAAGTGTGGCAAAACAGAAAAAGCTTACAGCTTACAGCTTCTGACTGGACATCTTGTTAAGTAGAGCTGTTTCTCAGCTCCAGTCTTTCCTGACTTTTAATGTGGGACAGCAACTCCAGTTCCTGCAAATAGCAGGACTTGTTCAGGACAGATACACCAAAATGTTCTTTCTTTTCCAAATTCTCATCTTGTAGCACAGTGGAATGAAAATATTGTCCATGCTTTTGCTGTCTGTCATATAAAAACTTCTTCTAAGCAGCCATTGATCTCTTAGCTGAAAATACTGGTTTTTTTGAAGTTTTTTTTCCCCCTGTGGAAAAAATGGGATCATCTACCTTTTTTTGTCACTGTTTCCAAAGTTTCTTCTACCTGATGTTTTTAAATCCTCAGTATTGACTTCATCTTTAGTATAACTGTGTTGGGATCTGCTCTGTAGATGCTTCCTGTTCCAGCTTGTATTGTAGCTGTTCTGCCTAGCACTTGTAAAACTCAGTATGCCTCAGGTTTTTCCAGGTGCTGCAGGTGTTTCCAGATGCACCTCTGCAGGAGAGGTCCATCCTGCTTAAGGGATTTCTTGGTCTAAAGTTATGCTTTTCCCCCTTGTCAGTTTGAGATGTCAAAGGAGTAATATTTCTGATACCCTGTGTCATACTCTCATGTGCCCACTTGGCAAGGAAAGGTCTTTGAGAGTAAGAAGTCAGAAGCTACAGACTTACCTACATGTCCTCTCCTATCTGTTACCTGAAGATGGAGCCCTATTTACAGCCAAACTTCACAAGTGACCTCTTGTGGGAGTAAGGAAGGGGAAGAAATGATACCACAGAACAACGATGTCATCTGTTCAGATGGGGGGAAAACTGGCAAAACTCCTCAAGTAACTAGTAGGTGGAAACAGGCAGTATTTCAAGTTGTGGAGCTTTTCCTCATTCAGAATGAAAGTTCATTTGGTTTGGGGTCATTGTCACAAACCAAAGGAGCAATGAAGGGTTTTGGTTATTGTTTGTTTTTTTTAAAGACATATTTGAGAAGGAAGCTTTTGGTCCTCCTCAAGGCCCTAAAAAAATGAATGGGAAAGGGAAGGCAAATGTAGCCCATGTAGCTTAAGGCAGAAATTGCTGCTGGTCCTGCTTCAAAGGAGACATTCTGTAGAAAATGACAGCCTTGGTAAAGGAAAGAGCACTGGAATAAATACCATAAATAATACAAAATAAATTTTGTCCTCAAGTTAGTGTCCATGTTCTCAGAAGTGGGAGCCATGGTTTTTGCCTGTAAGGATGGCAAAATGCACTCTGTTCACCTCCTTCTTTGTCTTTTTGCTGCTGAATATATCTTCTTTCAGGTTGAAGCATAGAATCATAGAATAGTTAGGGTTGGAAAAGGCCTTAAGATTGTCTAGTTCGAACCCCCCTGCCATGGGCAGGGACACCTCACACTAAACCATCTCACCCAAGGCTTCGTCCAACCTGGCCTTGAGCACTGCCAGGGATGGAGCATTCACAACTTCCTTGGGCAACCCATTCCAGTGCCTCACCACCCTAACAGGAAAGAATTTCTTCCTTATATCCAGTCTGAAAACATCCCATATTTAGCTGCTGCAAAAAGTGAAATTTAAATTGTGATTGCAAGATTAAGGTGTTTTAAGCATGAGAAGAGTAAAAATAAATATTTCTTTTCTATTTAAAGCAAATATAATGAGGTGTGTGTGGGTTTGAGTGGCTGTACAGCTAAAACAACTGAAAGATTAGCTGTGATTGCAGAGTGGTGCTTATCTTTATCCTTGAATGCACTTGGTTTGGATTTCTCTCTTTTTATTCAGAGTTCAGGGTTAACTGGTGTAGCAATGTATTGCATATAGCACTTCACCTCAGACTAGTTATCTCGCCAAGCTGGAACCCAAAATAACAAGAATTCCCTTTGCAGAACACAGCAAATGTTAAGAAAGAGCCATTATGGAAAAATTCAGATCTGTTACAATTCTGGTGATTAGGTTTTTTTGTCAGCTTTAGCTAAATAATTGCAGGGAAATTTTCCTGGTTTGACGTGTCATTTTGAACAAGAAAGTAAAGAAGTAGGATAGGAAAAAATGCCAGACCCAGTAGGTTCATCAACACACTAGAGGCTGATACACTTCAGGCTGTGTAGAAATGGTTGGCAGGAGAGCTACAACTTTCAGATCTTTTGATGGATATTCTTGGTTTCATGATTAAACTTCCATATACTTTAAGCTGTCATGGCTCCAAATTAGGTAGAGCAGGGACATTTTACTGATAAGTCTTCCAGCAGGAACATACAGCATCCCTTTAAGCAGCAGCCTTAGTTTTGGGCTCTGGTTCTGAGCTTGAGATGCTGTCAGCTGTGCTGATGCTTTCGTTGGAAGAGAAGAAGCATGATCTCATAAAATACAGTAGATAGTGGCCATTGTTTCTGTAAAATTGGATAGCCTGATGTTGCCTGATCTGTGAGGCTGTGAATAAACCATCCAGCTTTCCATGTTGTTCAATAGCGATGAGACATTCTTATGCTAAGGTACATATACAGCAAGGAAACTGTAAGTACCTTTCTGCCCACTGTCGCTAAGTGAAAACAGAGCCTGTAGCATTTCTGCTGCCCTGATTCTGTGCTACTGCCTGAAAACCTGAAGGAGAGGGGGCAGTCAAAGCGATGTCAGCCTGGATCTGGGATTGCCCTGGCTCCAGCAGTTCTGCAGAATGTGACAGTTATTCAAGGGGAAACCTGGGTTACTGCTAAGAGGAGCACAACTGTCTTGGCAAAAGCTAGGGTATTGCTAAGCAACTATGTCTGTGTGCCTTCTGCTTAGTTGTGTAGTGTTTAATCTGACCATCTTGCTAGTTCTTGCCTTTCTCTGTTATTACCATTTGTATTCATTGCCTGCTGCAAAGTGATGCCGTGGAACAGATGAGGTCTTTCCCTGCAGAGTTTATGCTCTGCTACACAAGGGAGATGGGGCATGAATTAAAATGTACTCTGTAGGCAGTGATCAACATGCATGACAAAGATCTCATCAGCATGCTGGGTCTTGGTTTTTATATTTCTCTGTGTTGCTGCTGGAGGTGCTCTGCTGTTGTCAGCTAAGAAGGTTAGGGCTTGATTTTGTAAATAAATGTATTTCAGGAAGCAGCCGTGTTTATGAAAGAGTAAAGCTAGCCTCTAGAGAGAATATACTGAAGATTTGCTTTTGTGCTTTCAAGATCTTTCATTTCAATCACCCTTCTGAACTAAGGATGCAGTCACTCTTGTATAGGGCTCGCCTGGTCATTTTTCCAGCTCACATGGAAATGCTGCTACCTTGATTTGCATGGACAGCAACACAGACGTTCTTGTGCTGGCTGGCTGAGCATCCCCCAGGGCAAGATCATTCAGTGCAAGCGCAGACAGGGTAGCTGGGACCATGGCCTGCTGCCGCTATGTAGATGGGATTGCAGGGCCTGCCAGTGTTTCTAAATCTAAGTAGAATTAAACATATATAAGTTTGTGTATAGTTTTGTTAGCTGTCTGGCCTAATATTCCAGGCTTGCAGCTGCACGGAATTTGGTAGCTATATTTTTCTTGCATATTGTATTCATATAAACTATGTCAACTGAGCTTTGAGGCTGATGAAAGTTAAAGTTCAGAGGTACTGTTATTTGAATGTAAGTAACTTTCTTATGCCTGCAGGCATAAGTTTACAAACAGATCACGGTTTCATCAAGTGAAGCTTATGGAGGAACATGAAAACAAGAGCATCAAAATCCTTAAAACAAAACTGAAAAAGAGAGCAGAATAGCTTTTCTGCTACTAATGGTTTGGATGACAGTAATGTAATGTCACATCATGTTTTTACATTAGCTATGACATGAGCCTTATCCCTGTAACATAGCAGCAGCCAGAAACTTACCCACCTGAGTATTTAACACCTTACAGTAAAGTGCCGTATAGTCCCTTTATATATGTGATATGTTTTACTATGGTTATTATGTCTTCCAGTGTATTTGAAAAGGATCCCAATGGAGTTGATTCCACTGCGAGTTCCAACCACAGGACCAGAAATCTTCTGGAGTTCTCAGCTAGGCAGGAGTCCAGCACAGCTCAGAAAATACCTGGGGACATAATTCCCGAGAAGAGTAACAGGTAAGATGAAAACTTTTATTTTTAGTGGTAGAGGGCAACTGTGCTTTCAGACCTCACCACCCTTCCATTTGGTAACCTTTTTGGCAGTGTTATCACTCTTGTGAGACCTCACTTGGAGTATTGTGCACGAGGATGATCACTGGAGCACCTCCTGTACGAAGACAGGCTGAGAAAGTTGGGGCTGTTCAGTGTGGAGAAGAGAAGGCTGCGTGAAGATCTCATAGCAGCCTTCCAGTATCTGAAGGGAGCCTATAAGGATGCTGGGGAGGGACTCTTCACCAGGGACTGTAGTGATAGGACAAGGGATAACGGGTTAAAACTTAAACAGGGAAAGTTTAGATTGGATATACAGAGGAAGTTCTTTACTGTAATGGTGGTGAGGCACTGGAATGGGTTGCCCAGGAAGTTGTGAATGCTCCATCCCTGGCAGTGTTCAAGGCCAGGTTGGTCAAAGCCTTGAGTGAGATGGTTTAGTGTGAGGTGTCCTGCCCATGGCGGGGGGGTTAGAACTAGATGATCTTAAGGTCCTTTCCAACCTAACTATTCGATGATTCTATGATCTTCTACAGCAACTGGGTTTACAAAAACAGTGTTTTGAAAGCTGATCTCTTTTACTGTTTTATGTTTAACAAAATTTACCAGGTTGCTTTTCAAATGAATATGATTTTGTTATCTACAAGATTACCCAATACATACAGCTTCAGAAACATACACTTCTGGCTGTGTTGTATGGTGTTAGGAACAGTGTGGTGGAAGAGAGCATATAAACAAGTGTATATCATGGAGATTTTAATGACCTTCTTCAGTTCTTCATCTCTCTACTTTTTTCGCTGATCTTTATTTTAACTTGCGTAGTTATGGTATTGGTCATATTATCTATCTCTTCTTATTTTTCAAGCCAGAGTATTTATTTTCTTAGTTGTTCAGGAGAAGGCTAGGGAAATTCACAATTAAGAATATACTCTGAACTTAGCACTGTACTTCTCTAGAAATATCTGAGTCCATTTTTATGCTTACCCATTATTTAATTACATAGTTGCTTTCAAGCTTCTCGATCTCTAGCATTCTGTGCACAAGTGAACATATAATTGTCTCCAGATTGAAGTCTGGCTAATCCAGCTCATGTTTTCCCCTTACAAGATTTATCCTATCAGATTGTCCCTTTCCAGAAAAGTGTTTTGGCTGGTTGAACAAAGCCAGGCACAGATGTGCAGAAAGCTCTAATGTATTTTACCATGCAGAAAGAAGGCAATAAATCAAAAGCATTTTAAGGCTGCAGCCACGGAGAGGGCTTTGTGTCCTGTATGGCACGTTTCAAACCATGACTTATGTGACATAGTAGTAGGGTGGTTCTCTTAGGAAAATATTCTAGTGCCTGTACCTCCTCCTTTTCTTTTGCTTTTTCTCCCTGTTTTTTGGCAAGCTGTGAGCTCTTTGCTGCATATTCTCCTTTATCAGTTCTAAATGCAGAAAACAGGAGAAGCAGATACAAAGATGGAGAGAAAGCTGGGAAAGGGAGGGGAATGTGAATAAGGTTTTCATAAGCTCTTATGTTTGTTTTTTCAGAAAGAAGTTGAGGTTTAGGAGCTACAAGTCTCTGTCAAAACCAGGACTAAGGCTGTCATATTCATACCCTATCAAGAAAGGAACTTATAATAGGTATTTGGTGTTAGGTAATTAACCCTTAAGGAGGTACAAATAACCAGGAGAAAGGAATATTAGTCTTTGTTGCTGAAAGTGCTGTGGAATTTTGTGTTGAAATACATGTTCTTTTTCACCTTTTATCAAAGCTAAGCTAGCTTCTGGAGACTGTTGGAGGTGTAAATCCTCTCCACTCAGTTGTAATCCAGTTTGTAGCTGTTCCATTGTCATATAGCTCATGGTCTTTACATGTGTATGGCTTTAGTGGCTAATAAATTTAGTATTTCTGTAGCAAATCTTGCACAGCTCTGAAATGAAAGAGAAAGTTGCCTCTGTAGAGGTCTTATGGTTTTCATATTATGAGGAATATTTTTACAGGCTACTTTTTATTTCAATATCTGGCCTGTTTGGAAAGAGATCCAACATCTGCTAATGTTCGTCTGTCTTCCCTGTGTTGAGTGCTATCAGACCCCTTTGGGGAACTGACTGAGTCCATTGTATATTTGCTATAAATTGTTATTCACCTGTTTCAAAGGTCCGTTGAGCAGCTGTAACATTTGTGGGTGTGCTGATGGTAGTGCATATTCTCTGGATTTGGTCAAAGGTTCATGGAAAAAGTATTTTAAGGGATTTCTTTGTGTCTTCTCCCCTCAGGTATGATAGTTCTGTATCTGATAACAAAGCACTGATGATAGTCTCAGAAGAACCACTGTTATATATTTCACCACCACCACCGCCCTGTCAGCCCCTGATTAACCGGACAGAGTCACTGAGGTGAGCAAACAGCCTTTTCTGAGCATTTAAGCTTTTCTAAGGAGTTTAGTTATAAATTGAGTGAGTGCTACTATGTAGACAACTGTGAATGATGTTATTGTCCATTCACAGTGTTCATCCAGTATGTGACCAGTGCCTCTGTAAGCGCCTGCACTGTCCAATGTCTACTACCATAAAGACAGGAGATCAATTTGTATCTTTGTAATCTTTTTATGGTTTTGGTGATGATTTTCACTCAGTTTTCATTCTGGTCATTTGTAATAACCAGATAACAATTTTCTGATTTCCTGGACTCAGTAGAAATAGAATAAAAATCACTTCATATGTAGAAATGTTCATAATATGAAAATCAAGTGCAGCTAAAAGCCTATTCCATCTGAAATACATAAAAGATGGTCTTCTACTCTTCAGCTTCTGATGCAAGCAGGCAACGTGACACTGCAGATGTGTTCTCTTCACTGTTAGAAAACAGCTAGCTCTGCTTGTTCTGCGTTGTCCATTCCTTGTCTCAAATTTAGTTGCCATATTGTAGCTTTCTTAGCAAATACTTGTCTTGAACTGATCAACTTTTGATATTAAATTTCAGTAGTCCTTCCAGTAATTTCAGAATTACTGTTCATTGGGCAAAAGAAAGTACTGTATCTGCTTTATGTTGAAACATCTGTAATCTCAGTACTTCATAGATATTCCCTTATGAATTCCCTCATAAATTTAATCTTACAATTACATTTTCTTACTCTGGTATTAAAAATAAATTATTATAAGGTACACATTATTATAAGGTAATTTGCAGCACCTTGTAGTAATTAGTTAAACTGTTTTCTAAAATTAAGCAATTCTGCCACTGTTCTTCAAAACGTCTGTTAATGCTCTGGGTTTTTCTAGGCTGAATCATGAACTTCGAGGATGGGTTCATAGACATGAAGTGGAACGAACAAGATCTAGAAGGCTGTCAAATAACCAACAGCAGAAAGCACGGGTTATGCAGGTAGGCAGATTTATACTCATGAGTCAGTAGCATGACAAGTTAATTTCAGACAGCATAACAAAATACTCTCTCTTACTTGTCCACACTTGTCATTATAGATAAAAGTAGCAACGGCGCCTCTAAACAGAGTACCCTACATGTCCCATTTTGAATTGCTGTATTTGGTTGATTATTATGTTGTCAAAGCTCCTCCATTCTTGCTCCTGGATTCAGTCTAGAAGTTTTAAATTTTTTTTAGCAGTCATCAAAATATGTTCATTGTTGTCTAAAATGAAATTAATACCCTTTTCATGACTTCTCTGTAAGACTGTATAAGGATGAACAGTTGGTTAATAGAGAGAAATGCAACCTACAGCACATTGATCTGGCTCACTGTTAAGGAGCGAAGCTGATTGGTTTTGTTGAAATATTTCCATTTCGTTTTTTTCAGTTTTTTGCTAGAAGGATATGTTTTTGATAAGACTACAGAATTATGAAATTTGTGCTAATAACTTCCCATTTTTTAGAATTCTTTTCATCTACATGGTATACCAATAGTGAGGTTGAAATTAAGACCATGAATTTTCAAAGTGTTTCATATGATTAAGCGGTAGTAACAGCTTTAAAAAGAATTGAACTTCACAGTGTGGGAAATACCATACTTTTCTAGAGAGAAAGTATTGAATATTAAACTTCAGATTCTTCTCCCTGGTGGCCAAAGGAGAATGGTAGAACATTAAATAGGCCAAGTTTGGGTGCTTCTAGTGTTTCAAACACCAGGAAGTGTGTTATGGGTAGTATATTTTGGCCGTGGTAAAAAGTGATTTGACCTCAGAAGAATTCTGCAAATCTGACATCAGTGATAGCAAATTTTGCAGTTGAATGACACAGTATGTGCAGCTGTTGTGTGTGGTGCCAGCTTCCCTTCTTTGTCTCTGAATCTGTGACTTCAGATTGGCTGTAGTAAAGCACTTGGGGGTTTTTGTGGTTACAGCTTGACTGCTGGCCATTTCAGTTATTCATGTTTCACTAGGGGAAAAATGCACATTTGTTGTGGAGGGCACTGATTAACCTCTGCACCCCGTTATATATTGACTGTTTGCTACAGATGTGCATGATACTGTATGTAGTGCCAAACCAAGAAAATGCTTTTTGTTTTCACTTTGTGTCACCTTTTTATTTCCTGCCTTCCTCCCTGCCCCTTTTCAGAGCTCCCTCAGCAAGAAGGCAGATTCTCAGCTAATGGCTGTGCCTTACACAGACACCAGCCTCAGGTAAGACAGAACACCTGCTACTGTTTCCTACTTAATGACCTAAGTTGTCACCAACAGATTGTAAAAAAAAAAAAAAAGAAAGCCTGTTTTCACCTTATCAGGATTCTTAAGCAACGTGCTAGATGCATTTATTGGGCTAGTTTCTCTTTCTTAGCAATAAATGCTTCTAATGATTTCAACTACACTTGAAGGGACCCTTGTATCACAGCTCTCTGTTCTTCTAGGGTCTTTCTACCAATGAGCCTTAAGAAATTCTTTACTTCACTCTGCAGAGTCCCTTCCTAAACAGATTTGAATCTTTGGGAGAGTAAGGGGGAAGAGAGAATTGTCTTGGGACATCATTAGTTTATATGAAAGTGTTCTTCCCTGGCAACAGGAACAACTGGAGAGAAAAACTTAAGGAAATGAAATTTCTCTCTCCTGAATTTCTTGTGACACTGTTTAAAAGGTTCTCTGCTTTGGTGCCAAAGAGGAGTATAAGAGCAGATCAGAGTATGAAGGGGGCTTTCTGCTGAGAAGAACCCCTGATATGTTACCGTTGAAAGTAATGCAGCTGTGGCCCTTTATTTGTATTGCTGCTTTGAAAGCAGGAGCACTCTTGCAGAAGGGAGTGAGTTGCAGGCAAATGTTATGGAATCCAGGCTGCCAAATTTTGATGTCTTGACTTATAAGAAAAAAAAAAGATAAAGCTTTTTAGTTGTACAGGTGGATGAAGGATATCTGTTTTAATTGAAGACTGGATGAACAAACTTCATGGCATAAGGCAGTTTAGTATACATGCTTGCATTACTCTTATTAGAAACAGTCTGCAAGATCATGCAGCTCTGCATGCTCAGAAGGAAATTGAGGTTTTTTTTCAGGTGATTGATGTTTAAATGAACAAGACTAGTGAGTCATGGCAGCTGCATGCTGTGACTGTTCTGGAACTGCTAAGAACATAGAACAGACTTCAAGTTCCTCCCAGAGCCATCATGTATTAGATGCTCCATGAAATCATAGAATCAGAGAGTAGTTTAGGTTGTAAAGGACCTCTGGAGATCTCTGGTCCAACTTCCTACCCAAAGTAGGTTTAATTTCTGGTTTACTGTGAGGTCCTGGGTTCCAGAAGAATGTTGATGAACTGAAAAGTATTGCAGTGTAGTCAAAGCAGAGAAAGAAGATAAAAATTAAAGTGATTTCAAAGAAAATCATTAAACCCCCTCAGCTCTTTATAGTTTCTCTAGCTTTCTTCAGAGGTGATTTTGATGAGACTTTATGCAAGTGTGTTTTTGTGGCTCCCGGTATCAAACTGGGACTCTTCATTTTCCTGTTTCTAAATTTACCACTATTAAAATGGTGTTTCGTGGTGCATAAAGTACTGTGTCGACAACCACATTCCTTCTTAAAGCAACCATGTGGCTCTGTGATGCATAACAGAGTGCCCTTCAAACGTAAACTAAAACAAGACTTGTTTATTTCCCAACAAATGGCCGGACACAGCATCATTGTTTTGGATATACAGTTTAACATGATGCTTTGTACGTGTTTTTGGATCTTAAGTTACTTTTCTTTCATGGAGCAGTCCATTGTGGTTACCCTGGGACTAGTGTTGGATTTGTTCCATAGACCAGGAGAGCTTTGTAAAGGCCCAGTGGTTTCCAAGTGTTTTGGAACATTTTTCTAGATGAACTTAGGTTTATAAAAGGCTGGTTTTTAGGTCTAGCTGTATCTGCTGGAGTATGGGTGAGCAAATGGATCTGTGGGACCTGTTTCAGTTTTCAGGATGTGTTTTACTGAGCAATGCGTGGGTGCAATGCCTTTTATCACAGTAAAACTTCAGTGCTGAATCTCAGGGGAAGTTTGGTGGGCCTTCGTGGCTTTACAAGTGAGTCATCAAGCTCAAATTAGCTCCAGTCTTTGTTTCCTGTGTGTGAAGGATATGATCTGATTCCTCACTTGCGTAGGTCTCCTAAAGAGGATATGTAGGTTAGAGCTGCCTGCTCTTGATTGCCCAGGACTTACACCCCCAGTCCTGTTAAAGGGCAACTGGCTTGGCATCTGCAGTTTTTTGGTTACAGCAGGACTGTATTAGCAGTGGAAGAGGAGATAATGACAGTCTGCTATTTCTGCTGCTCAAGAAAATCAATTGATGATAGATTTATGCCTTGTTTTGGGTGCATAGTTATATATATTTTAGAAACATACCAAAATAATCTAAATTAGCCACCATAATTTAAAATCTGGGTCAGCAGAAGATAGCTTGGGAGGGATAGCTGATCAGTGTTTTTGCCACAGATATTGCAAACAGTATGTTATTAAAGTGGGAAAAAATTAAAATGACTGGTTAAAGTTTCAGCTAATGGTTTGTGTAAGTACAGCTTTCCAATCGGATTAAATTCTGGGGTTGTTTAGTCTGGCGAAGAGAAAGCTCAGGGGGAACCTTATCACTCTCTACAACTACCTGGAAGGAGGATAGAGTGAGGTGGGGGTCGATCTCCTAAGTAACAAGTGACAGGACAAGAGGTAGGAGCCTCAACCTGCCCCAGGGGAGGTCTAGATTGGATATTAGGAAAGATTTCTTCACAGAGAGGGTGATCAGGCATTGGAACAGCTGCCCAGGGAGTCATTGTCCCTGGAAGTGTTCAAAACCGTGTAGATGAGGCCTTTAGTGATATGGTTTAGTGGTGGACTTTGAAGTCCTGTGGTAATGGTTGGACTTGATCTTAAAGGTCTTTTCCAACCTAGTCAGTTCTGTGATTCAATGAAATATGTTATTTTTGACTAGGATTGGGGAAATATACATGATAGCAATATATGCTAGGGATTTCTCACTTTTCCAAGATAAACAGTAGATAAGTACCATGATTGTATGGCTTGCCAGTGTTTTGCTTAGAATAGTTTATAATATAATAGTAAAATGAGAATTGTGAAAAAGATAATCCAGAATTATGTAAATATCTTATTTTTGCTCCACTGCCTAAATTGAAAATCAAGAGCAAATCTTGTCACTTGACAGTAAATGAAAAGTTCTGTTTATGCATAAGTTTGCACTTCTTTCATTTTGAGCAGTTTGGATTTTCAACAGTAAAAAAATAATTTCAGAATGATGTTTCATTCTAAAATTTGTTTTCAGAAGTCATCACAATTTTTCAGACACTTTGACTTGAAACTTCTTTTTTGTTGAGCTAGCAAGCAAGCATTTGCCAGCCTCAGAAGCATGAAGAAAATAAAGCTGGGAAAAGTTTCCCACAGCAAGACCTTTAATTCACCTTTAACTTTCAAAAAGTACCCATCAGTTTAACTTTCTTTACCTGTGTTTAATGTTTGTCATGCTTCTCAATGGATGAAGAGCCGCTGATCTTTTGAAAAGCAGGTCTTTAAAGTCATTGTCTCACTGAAGTTAACTTTCTTGTCTAAAGTAATTACCATCTCCTCTCCTTCATTTCAGCAGGAACTCAGGGAATGAGCTGCAAGTGTATTATGCCTCTCCAAGGAGCTATCAAGATTTTTTTGAAGCTATTCGCAGAAGGGAGGATACATTCTATGTGGTGTCATTTCGCAGAGTAAGTGTAGTAGTTGGCCTTTTATGTGTATCCATAAGACTGTTTCTCACACCAAGTGTATTTTCTTCTAACACAAAAGATGACCTAGTCAAGGTTGAATCTAAATTTGGTTCTTCGTAAGTGATGCTTCTATCTTTTACAGTAGTATGGCCAGATCATGGTCTTTGCGAAATATGCCCATCACAGTAAGGGATGGAAATAGAGCTTTGCAGAGAATGTTGTAGTGCCAGGGCACAACAGCACAAAATTGCAAGAACCCTCTGGTTAAACACTTATACATGTTAGCGGTCCAGAAATTGGAATAGTTAACTGGATATATATTCATAGGTGTATAAATCTTTTGTGCTTCTGGGTATAGGAGTAAATGTACCCTGCGCACATATTATTTTTGCTAGCTTAACGTAATGTTATTTTTATCTTCCCCTGAAACTGCATTTGCAGTTTTGTGTGTCACATACTGCACCTGTACAGGGTTGCATGCAGTGGCATCATTTTTTGGCTGTTTTGTGACTTATAAGTAAAGACAAGCAGTTCTCCTGTCTATGGTGGGACACAGCATAGGCTTGTGCTGCACACACAAGCACATCCTCACATTGCAGTTCAGTTAGTGACCATAAAAGCTGGTTTAAAATTTAATTCCAGGTATTTGATGGTACTTTATGTACTGCAAGCCTGAGTGATGTTGAAGCCAGGACAGCTGCAGTAGTGAAAAGCTTCTTGGAATCTGGTGATGGAGATGATCAAGGCAAGCAGTGGTTGAAATGCCAGCTGATGGTTGTGACAGTTTATTATCTCCTTTTTCAGAGGTCTTCATTAGTCCTTAGACATATCTATGAGGCATCTTTGTCCTGGCCTGAAACTGGATTCTTGACTTGATAAGTCTCCTGCCTTACTATTTTGCGTTTGTAATACTAGATCAGAATTGTTATGTATGTGCTCATGACCAGCCGTGGTTTTCATAGGACCCTGTAATTTGTTTCCTCATCACAGGAGTGTCCTGAGAGGGGTCCCATGGTGGTGGAGGACCAGTAGTTGCCATTACAACAGCTCATACAGCTGCAACTAGTTCTATGTAAGAGCACACAGATAAGCAAAACTAGTTCTAGCAGTTTCTGTGTTGCTATAGTTCTAGCAATCTGTAGATGCCATATGTATGTAGGTAACACAACCCAGTTCAACCTGGTCTTAATTTGTGAGATACACGTCTTTAGAAAAGGTTCAGGCAAAATAAAAATAGCGGTGCTCTTGTTAGGATTAGGGTTTTATGCAGAGTAGAAATACGAGGTTAGTTTCCAGTCTTGGGATTACTGGGTTGTGTCACAAGGCTGGAATTTTGTTATTAAATGCTTGGCATGTTCTGCTGTTCTTTTAGCTAGCAACACAAATATAGCCAGCACCAGGCTCCACATATCCTGAGGATGAGTAGAAGGGAGTGGAGAATTGATATAAAAGTTTTTCTGGAAACTCTGAACAAAAAGCAGAGTAGTGTTTGTCTAGTTCTTCAATTGCAGCTGTTGCTCTAGTCCACCTGAATGCATGCATGGGTACATAGTTGTTTACATTGTCAGATTAATGACCTGGAAGTTGCCAGCTCTCATTTTGACTTGCAGAGCTGTCCCTGGAAACAGAGTGTCCTGTGCCACAGAATCTCTACTGCTTGGGTCTGTTGTATTGCAAGGACAGGTGTGGGGACTTTTAAAATCATGTAGAAACTTTATTTTGTAGCAAAGCTGCTGCTATGTCTGTTTATGAATGAAATATCCTCAAATTGAAGGCAGTTTTATACATTACCTCATTTATTATTTCAGCAGGGTGAAACTAATCTAATGACAAGCTCTGCCCTGAGGCATTTTTAAATTCCTTGCTTGGGTTCTTTTTTGAGTGCAGAAGAAGGGACTCCTGTGCAGCCCAAGGGGTTGCAATCTTGCCATCAGCAGGGCCCCAGCCTGGAAAGCACTCACTCACGTTCTCCTTAGGGTTGCTAATTTCATATTCTTTGCACCACAGTTCCTTTTCCACTGATGATTAGGAGCTGAGAGAGGGGCTGATTTCTTCCTCAGTGTTTCAGAACAGAAACTTGCTCGCTTGTTGCTTGCTCATTTGTCCAAGCTGGAAGGCAAGGACTGGAGATGTTCTTCTTGTTTTGTTATTCTTTCTGGCTGTTTGCCCTACAGACACTCCCAAGCACTTAATAAGATGTTAAAAGCCATATACAAAAAAACAGGAATCATCCAGCTAAGAGTTCCAGGGAATGGACGGATCTGGTATTTGATGATGGTCCTGCTCCAAGTGGGAGGTGGGACTGAAAATCCCCAGAGATCACTTCCACCTGATGTCTCTGGGATCCTCATTCCACATGCTTTCTGCTCTGTGCAGTGTCACATAACCAAGCATCTGTCCTGTGTACATGTGATGAAATGTGATGCATTTTTTGTGTTTTCTGCATGTTGTCACTTGCACCACAGGAGCTGTGCCCTGAGTTCCTTGGACTTCCTAGAAAATGGCATTTTCTAGGACTGCCCATGCTTCTCGTGTAGTAGAACTCAGCCAGGGCTTCAGAAGGTGCAAGGTAAGGGAGCAAATCTCCCATGCACTGTCTCATCCTCTCTCTGAAGATGCTTGGTACCTGTAACTGCCTATAAGACTGAATTTTTCGTGATCTCATCAATTTTACTCTCTCTCGTTGCCTTGGAAGGCTTCCATGTCTGCATATGTACAGTTGGAGTTCGATTTTATTTTCTTTTCTAAGGAGAAGAGAGGAAAATAAAGTAGTATTTGGATCAGCTGAGTCTGTACGAGAAGCAGAGCTTTCACTCCAGGACTTTACAGAAATTAATTTCTGCTATTGCCAGTGGAATCTGTAGTGCCATTTTTAAACAAGAAGAAATACGTAACTGACAGTGAGTAAAAAAAGAATTCTTGAACTGAAGCAGTGCTGTCTCCCAGCTCTGCCAGACCACAGCAGCCAGCATCTCTTGTAGGCAGGGCTCACCACCATTTATTTCTTGAGATGTTTAACTTTTAGGAAGTTAACTTTTCTTGCTGCTTTACATTTAGGAAGCTATTTTTTCAGTGGTCTTATAGCATTGCAGAAACTGACACCTAACACTAAAAAAATACGCATTCCCCATTGTATATGTTCACAGCTGAGCCCTCTGCTGTCCCCAAGTGCTCCAGCATTCAGAAGCTATGCCTTTCCAATGGGTCTATAAATTGTGCTGGTTTGGATTGGCGTTGGGAGCACATTCAGACCTGAGAAGTCTGTGCAGTGGTCACCAAGAACAAGATACAATGCTTCTGTGAAAAGGGTACAGCAGTTTAAGCTCTGCTGAAGCACATTGGAGTCTGCAGTTGGTGCTGAAACTTCCTTCCATTACTTCCAGGCCTGAGAGGCAGAACTGAGTCTGTTACACTGCCAGCATCTTTGATTGCTCCCCTTTAAGGTCTGTGATACTAAGTCTGCTTGATATGTTCCAAAACCCCAGTGGAGCATGGCTGCAAAATTCCGGGTAGTTGATACAGTGTGCTCTGTCAGCAGGGAAGTAGACACCTGGCTGCCCCTGCAGTTCTCCTGTAAGCCTGGCACCCAAGTAGTTCTCTCTCAGAGCTCACATATGTTTTGCCATGGAGTATTCAGACCTGGAGATTATTTCTAGAATTACTTGAATAGAAGGTAATGAAGTAAATCATTGGAAAAAACAAATCCTTTCCAATTTACTTTGGCCTGAAGTATGCTGCTCCAGATCATCCCACTCGTGTGGTTAGGATCAGAGTCCCCACAACTTGCAGTGATTAAACAGTAGATTTCCCCATCCTGGAAGATTCTGTTAGTGACCCTGCAATGACATTTCTGCAGGCTTATTAAGGACAGTGACATTTTCAGGGTAAGAATGTAATTACTGTTCTTAAGGAAAGCGTGGTTTAAAGTTTGATTCTCTTGGGAAATTTAGAAGGCTACCAGCATTTCCGCTCACTACTTTCTTCATTGATTTCAAAGTGCAATGCCTCCTGATATCCAAGTTTGCCAATTGCAGTTAATGCAGCACGTATACAATATCTTACAGTACATTACAGTAAAAAAAAAATATTAAAAGGTGATTCTGATTAGAGCAGGAGTGATGCTGGCCCGATGGAAATCAATGGCAAGCCTTTACCAACTTAATTAGGACCAGAATTTCACTTTGTAAATATCTGCTTCAGTGCCATAAACCATAGAGCTTCAGGGAAACATATTATTATGGATGAGAATTTCTGGTCCTACAAGCCAACATCTGCAGTGAGCATTTAAGGATTTCTCAAGTTCTGCAAACAAATTTTCACTGAAGTGATTAAGCCAAATTTAAATCAGAACTTTTGTTCTTTGTGTGAATGCTCAGTGTGCTAGGAATAAAAATATCTACATTGTGTTTTGCTTTTGTTGGCAATAAGTCTTTGCTGTATTAATTGTATTATTTGGGATGATATATTACTTTCAGGCAGCAAAAACTTATAATGCCTGCCTTTGACTTGCTTGTGTAGCAGTAGTTTGCTGTGCTGTGCACAGAGTAATGGCAATAGCCTGAATTGATTCAAAGAGTAAGGGTGAGACGGGTTCACATTCACTGCACTCTTGATGCCATCTACATCCTGCAGGCAAAGCTGCTTTATAAGAAGTCAGCTTCAGATGATGTTTCATAGCCAGAAATTCAGTCCTAACATGTACTTTTCTCCTATTCTGTTGCACTTGACAATGGGTGGTTTTCACTGAACATGAAGTTTTCTGCTGTTGACTTTGTGGATTTCTGTGGACTAGGATGTATAATTTGGTCTTTCATTCAGATAAAATGCACTGATTAGACTCACATAGTCCTGCTGCTCTGAAAGACACGTTAGCTATCTAATACGTTTGAGTCCTGTGGGTTTGCAACTGCTGCAAGTTAAGATGCATCTTTTTGAAAGATTTTACAAACTCCCCTTTCTCCTGGGGAGCCTAACCTTAGCTATTCAGAGGAAAAAACTGC